AAAATGTCAGCGTTAATTTACAAAATTGCCACGGAAATGCTGGCGCGAAATTTCTCGATAGTAAAGGGGAAAAAAAAAACCAGGATTGTACACGTAATTTGTCACCCACTATATTTAAAAGTAGACAAATAGTATACTCGTGAAATTAGGAAATAGTGTCACCTGTCACCATGTGATTACCAATACTTATTTTTATTTTCAAATTAGGTTCTAATTTAAAGTCACTTGAAATCTCGCATCAGGAAAATCCTGATGCGATTACTAGACAACTCCTCTCGGTTTCTGTCAACGTTGATACTTGGCTTAGGGGGTCGCCCCTCGCCAACAATCAACTTTTGAAAACTTCCAGCTTAAGGACCAGTTGTTTAAAAAAGCATATGTTTTGAAAACTAACAAAGTGTTGTTTTGTACAGGAAATCAAAGTTGTTCAGAGTATCACAAGCTGGAGGAAGAGCTTGGCGCTCCAAAAACAGAAATGGAGGAAATTAAGTTGAAACACAACAAAGAGATGAAGACTTTGGAAACAGAGGAAGAAAGGAAAGCTAATGCAAGACTAAAGAGACTCGATTCTGTACGAGTAAAGTATTTGGAGGAAGAAATCGATCATCTAAAGACAGAAATGGAACAACTTAAGCTCAAACACAACGAAGAGAAGAAGACATTGGTAGCAGAGAAACAGAACAGAGACGCGAAGTTAAGGGAAGCTAACACGAGACTAGAAAGGTTGGATACCGTCCGTGTAAAAGAATTGGAGGAGGAACTCCATCATGTTAAGACAGAAATGGCGCACCTTAAGTTCAAACATAACGAAGAGAAGAAGACTTTGGTAGCAGAGAAACAGAACAGAGAGGCGAGGTTAACGGAAGCTAATGCAAGACTCGTTCCTGTCCGAGTAAACGAACTGGAGCAAGTAATTGAAAACCTAAGGGAAGAGAAAAAAGAGATCGAGTCTCAACTCCTTAGCGACAAGAAAAGAATAGAGAGAGAGTTACACGAGAAAAAGAAAAGTGAAGTGAAAGTTAAACGCAAAACTGAGCGTCTCACAAAAGAAAACGAGGATTTCCTTAAAAGGATTAAGGAGCTAGAAAACAAGAACAGAGCGCTGGTAAAGAAGAACAATAATCTCTTGTCGAAAATCAAGACTGTGGAATGTGAAACAAGCGAACACGATGAACCAAAACCCGAACTTAATCGACTTTCCCCTGAACTAGAGCAACTTCGCGATGAAGATAAATGCCTCAAAAATAAAAACGCAGATTACCTTCGAAAGATTAAAGATCTGGAAAAGCAGATCAAAACGCTGGCAACGAATAACAACAACCTTTTATCGAGGATCAAAACTGCGGAACGTGAAACAAGAGAATGCGATAAAGTAAAAGCCGAACATCATCGACTTTTTTCTGAAACAGAGCGACTTCGCAAGGAAGATCAGAGCCTCAAAAAGGAAAACGAGGATTCCCTTCAAAAGATTAAAGATCTGGAAACGAAGAACAACAGCCTCAAATCGAAAATCAAAACTAAAGAATGTGAAGTAGAACAACTTCGCATGGAATATAACGACAGCATCGCAAAAGCAAACGCGAATTCTTTTCAAAAGATTGGAGATCTGGAAAAGAAGATTAAAGCGCTGGAAAGGAGGAACGAGAGATTCCGGAAGGAATTGGAAACTAAGGAATGTGAAAACTGCAAAGTACTAGATGTGGAAGTCAATAAATACAAGAACGCTGTAAACTGTAAGTATTAACTCACATTTTCCGTGTTTGTAAATATTGTTTGGGCGGTCAGAGTTGATGATTAAAACCCTAAGAAATGTTGGATCTGACCTAAAAATGTTATAAAATGATAACTTTTCGACAAAGTTCTCTTTGCCTTCTTCAGAGTAAAATAACTAGAATAATTTGTCTTAAGACATGCTTTGATCTCTAAGGGGCACAATAAAAGGCAAATAGGCCTTAAGGAGAGGCTAGCGTTCATTTACAGTATCGGTATTTAGCGTGGAATGCCAAGATTCTGATAATAAGCGTTTTTATCGATTGCTGACGCCACGTTGTAGTACTTCTACGTACTTGGGATGAATATCATGTTCAGTCGTTTCCGCGTGCTGTTCAATTGCCGATTCATTGTTCCTCTTGTACCAGGCTTGACCTCTGCCCCCCCGCTCTGCCCCCCGAGAGTTCCAAGATCTTTTGCTTTCGCCTATGCATACAAACGAACACGATCTACAATTGACTTTGAAAACAATTCCAGTCACTTGATTCTCGCTTGGGCGCTCTTTTGCTTCCCTGCGTGGTGCCTATGGCAGGCTCCTGCGTCGGTCCACAAGACTTTTCACCACTGTTCTCTTGCTCTGTGCTGGGCTATAGGAGTCAAACGATCGGTACTTGTTCGTGTGAGTGACCTTACGGTATACACTCACTTCCACTCGACTATCGGGGAGGACTGTGGTATTAGTGTCCAGAAAAGCATTTGTTGGGTGACCTGTGGGCGCTGACGGCATCTCTAAGGTGAATTGAATGTGTGGGTTTATAGAGTTTAGCTGCTTATAGAAGGGTTCGAAGTCGACGTTCTTTAGGCAGGCGTTGGAGTATCCCCACCATCTGGGCTTGACTGATGATGAGGTGAAGGCTTCTTCCTCCGCTTGCTATATTGTTAACTCTGCGATGACAGCACTAAGGGATGAACCCATGGCATATCCAAGAACTTGATAATATTGCGTTCCTTCAAACGTGAACTGAAAAAGCTGTTTTTTTAACTCGGAGGAGAGCAAAAGAAGGCTCTGATTATTCTGTTTCAGGTTTGCATGCGTTTTCTAATCAACAGTTTCTTGGAGTTTCCGTTGTACGATACCTATAGTGAGGTCGACTGGTATCGAAGCAGGAAACCCCTTCGAAGGATGCTATCAGCTCATCATTGCGAATTCCTTTGCGTTTTGACGGAATAATCGTTTTTGCTCTGAAGATGTTTCTGGATGGAGACCAAATGCTTAGAGAAACGATAAGTTGGGGCACGATGCAACTGTTGCTGGGGCGCAGAGGCACTTGAACGTTTTCGCCTCCTGAAAGGGTGAAATGGTTTTCCTGTTGCTACAGCTGTATCTAAATGGATGTTTGGTAAGCCATAGAACGATGCTGGGATGGAATCTTGATTTCAGTACTCTGCTTCAGTTAGATCCCCTCGTCTTTTGAGATACAAGAGTTTGTTCTGAAGGTCTTGTTCTACCTAAGCTGTCGGATTCTGTCTTTTGTCTGTGACTGGCTCTTAGGTTTTCTTATCCTGGAGCATTTCACGAAACCTGCTGCAATAATGTTTTTTTGTTCAGCACAACTGCGCAGTTTTCTTTGTAAGCTTTTACGCTTGCGATGCTCTCATCGCTCTTTAGTTTTCTGAAGGCTTTTTACTCTTCTCTTGTAAGATTCTGCTCCTTTTGGGGGATTTGCCTTGCCTTAGAGTGCTGTGAACTTCGCTTTTCATGATGTCTTGACGTTCGTGTGGCAGACGATGCATTGCAGATTCAACTGAAGCGAGGATTTCTTTAGTCGGTATATGCCATGGTGTAAATGCGAAGTTCCAGTTCCTATTCGGAGATGCTAACAACCCATCTTCTCTTAATATCCTCTTCGCCTCGCGTCGAGGTTTCCTTCAACTTTCTTAGATTTCTTTTCTCAACTTAAGTTTTTAGACTCGCACATTTCTGTCGGTACCTAATTTAACCCTCCGCAGCGCTATCTTGAGGTTCTGCTTTCGATTTTTGATTTTAACGCGTCTTTGTCTTAATCGAGAATCTGTAGTTTACGGTGAAATTCCTTTATGAGAAAGCGTAAGCATTTCTAGCCCGTCTTATGTGTACCGTCCCAAGCCTTGGGGTTGTCGATTGGCAGTCGGGACAGCGTGAATTGTGGTAAAATACCGCTCTCTTTGCTTTGGTGTGGATAACGCAGATATAGTTTGCATGGCACCTGTGTTGTTAAGTTCTTTTCCAATCGTCTTACTTCATGTAGGGCCTCCACGCCTCTTGTATCTCAAAAAGGCAGGGGATCTAACTGAAGCGAAGTACTGGAAGTTTTCACTCTAGAATCCTTCTATGGCTTACCAAAGATCCGTAAGATACAACTGCAGTAACGGGAAAACCATTTCACCCTTCCAAGATGCGTAAATTTTCAACTGCGTCCGATCAGCAGTTGCATTAATGGTGCTCCAACTCTCTCTAGGCATTTGGCCTCCATCCTGCAACATCTCTAGAGCAAAAACGGTTATTCCGTCAAGAACGTCAATGAATTCGCTAATTTCATGAGCAGTCAAAGAGTAACCAATGATGAGCTGATAGTATCCTTCGATGTGGTTTCCCTGTTCAATTCGATAACAGTTGACCTCACTATAGGTATCGTAAAACGGAAACCCCAAGAAACTATTGATTGGAAAACGCATACAAACCTGAGACAGGATCAGAGCCTTCTTTTGCATTGTTCTCCCTCGAGTTAAAAAACAGCTTTTTGCACATTTGAAGGAATGCAATATCATCAAGTGTTTGGATGCGCTATGGGCTCACCCCTTAGAGCTGTCATCGCAGAGTTAACAAATGGAGCAAGTGGAGGAAGAAGCCCTAGCCTCGCACCAATCAAGCCGAGATTGTGGCAACAGTACGTCGACGACTCCAACGCCTGTCTAAAGAAGGACGACGTAGAACCCTTCCATACGCACCTCAACTCTATAAACCCCCGCATTCAGTTAACCTTAGAGACGTCGTCAACGTCCACATGTCACCCAACAATTGCTTTCCTGGACACTAATACCACACTTCTCCCAGATGACTGAGTGGAAGTGAGTGTATACCGTAAGGCCACGCAAACGAACCCATCATTTGACTCGCATATTCCAGCACACAGCAACAGAGCAGTTGTGAAAACTCTGATCTCATGGACCCAGCCAGGAGCCTGCCATTGAGCACCAAGCATGGAAGCAGTGACGAGCAACGCGTTGTCAGCGATCTGAAAGCCAATGGATACCCGGCTAAATTTATCGAGAAGCCATGCGAAGAGAGAGAGAGAGAGAGAGAGAGAGAGAGAGAGAGAGAGAGAGAGAGAGAGAGAGAGAGAGAGAGAGAGAGAGA